AAATGATCAACCTAGAAAAAAACAAGATATACAAAATTTATCACCATGTCAGTTAATACTTTGTTGGGTCACCTTTAGCATGAATGACGGCCTTACAACATCTTCCCATGGAGTGAACCAACTCTTTTAGTTCTGCAGCTGTTATCATGTGAAACCAAGATGGAATGATGGCTTCTATTAACTGGGTTTTATTGCTGGGTTGCTTCTGACTAAGAAGTTTCTTTAGTTGGAAAATCCATCGATTTCCAATTGGGTGAAGGTCTGGGCTATTCCCAGGCCATCCCAGCAGTGGAATAGGATTATCTTGAAACTCAAAAAAAAAAAAAAGTGGTGTTATTAGCCATCAAACCTCAAAAATACACTTTTCCCAAAAGGTTTCCACAATTTTGGCCACTACTGTAGGCTGGCCCAGCCCTGCTCAATGGGAACCAAATATCTTTGTCTTTAAAACACGTTTCTCCTTCCCTCATCCAGGGAAATACAATATTCTGCCTTTTTTGCATATTTCCTAGAATATTTCATTCTTTTAGGAGAGGGGAGTGGGTGCTAACTTCCCACACTGGCAAAGACCCTGGAGGGGGGGGGAAAGAGTGTGAGCTGTGTTTCAAAGCTCCAGGTGGGCCCTTCTTTGGCCAGACCAGAGAGAGACTAAGAAGCACCACTCTCGCCAATTGAGAGTCGTCTTTTTGTGGCCAGTTTGTGTCAGGTTCCTCCCGGGTTCTCTATAGGATCTCCTGTGGAAGAAAGTCAGCCGGAGACAGAAGCGGTGGTGTTGAATGTCAAGGAAGGAATAAAAGAATCTTGTTCCCCATTCAGGATCTATTTAGAGTTTCCATTCATTATTCATCGGGGAGGAGAATCTCAGCTGTATCAAACAGGCCCTCGCAAGACAAAAAGCCCACCCACCCACCCCTTCCTTCAGGAGGTCTTGACGAATGTGGACAAAGGCCAGTGAGCAGGACGGTCATTCCTGGGAGCTTAGGCATCCTCTGCACTGCACAAGAATTCAGTCCCCCCCCCCATATTTGAGCCTATTTGCTGAATCTCGTATTTTTCGGCATGGTAAGACTGCAAGTTGTTTCAGCAGGCAGATTAGAGCGAGCAACTAATGAAACAAATAGCATTAGAATAAGAGTGTTAGAAACACCCAAGACCCACAATAAACCACACGGCAGCTTACACTAAACCGATAAGATAGGATTTCAGCTTCTCTACCCGCCATCCTCCAGTCCCTCTAATCATCTTTGTGGATGGTTCAACAAACTTCAGTGGCAGCCAAAGGAAAAGGAAGAGAAGAAATTGGAAAACCGGGATAGCGTAAATGGGAAGCAACCCGAGAGGCTATTTCAGCCGGGATGGAGAGGAAAGCCTTAAAAAGCCTTTTCATGATGCGTTCCCAGAAAAAGCTGCAATTGGAAAATAAGGATCTTTCCCTTCTGAGCTAGGGAAACCATTGGTGATATGTAGCAATGGAGACCGAACTCCAAGGAAGAGAAAGAAACTGGATCCTTCTGATTTATGGGTTTGGAATGATTTACTCAGGGTACTAGGGACAAATAAACTACCAGTTATTTGGCTGTTAGAAAGAATAAAAATGGATTGCTCCAGAGGTGGTATTCGACCGGTTTACTTCATTCCCAGCGTCATTCAACTAAATTAAAGCAAATTCCTTCCAACACAAATTCCTCAGTCCTATCTCAAACCTTGGTCCAACTAGGCAAACTGCCAAAAGCCTTTCTTGGCAAAGGTTCAGAAGTCTACCGTTTCAGACAAATGGTTTATCCAACATCTTCTTAAAAACTTCCAGTGTTGGAACATTTACAACTCCCGGAGACGAGTTGTTCCACCGATTAATTCTTCTCACCGTCAGGAAGTTTCTCCTTAGTTCTAGGTTGCTATGAGTTATGAGTTATGTTTGGCACCATTAAGAAAAACAAGAGAAAGCAATGTGATAGATTAAAGCATTGTTCTTGTTGAAAGAATAAAAGACTATCACGGGGGACAGGATTAATCTCCTCTTTAATACTCGAGCACAATGTTTCTCAACCTCAGCAATTTTAAGCAGTTTAAGATGCCGGCAGGGGAATTCTGGGATTTGACGTCCAATCATCTTAAAGTTGCTAATTGTTGTGGCCCGCCAGTGGCCTGCGTGGATCGTGGCTGATCCCGACGAAGAGGAGGCTGGTGTGGTGTCGCGCCAGCACCCTGCACAGCCAGCGCTCGCGTCGGACAGCGAGGAGGCTGAAGAGGATGTGGTGCCAGAGGCAGAGACTCAGCCAGGGCCTTCAGAACCTCCAGAGGCTCCTTCAAGTGGAGAGAGCGAAGTGGAGGAGCCTCTCCTCAATGCTCGAGCACGCAGGGCTGCCAAAAGGCAGGAGTGGCTACTCAAGAGGAGGAGGTCTCTTCGAGAGTAAGGCTTGAAGATAATTGGCCACTCCCTTAGCCTGTTTAAGTCACACGCCGTTAGTAAGTTTCTTGCTGGAAACAACTCGTATTTATTATCAGAGTATTTTGGTTTATCATATCTTGTTTTCTGGGCTGGTTGCCAACCTTTGGTGGTTTTGTTTATTCTTGCTACTTAATAAATTTGATAAGGACCGTTGGTGTGTGTCAATATCCTCGGAAATCCAGAGCTGGGGCAGAACACTAACGTTGAGAAATGAAGAATAGATGGTATTCGTTATTTCAAAAATAGATAAAAGTTGGGCCTTATACAAGAGCAGCGTTTCTCAATAATGCTCTTGCATAAGGCTCGTCTTTATTTTTCACCTTTTCATCATCTTCATTTTCTACTTCCTCGCCTTCCTTGTCAATTGTAAGCTTATGGAGCGTGCTGGCTGAAAAGACTTCATAATTCGTTTTGTTTATAGGGAAAACAGCAATCATTAGTAGAAAGCTGATGGAATTGTGGGTGCTCCTTTGCTGGAGGTTTTCAAGAAATATTGGACAGTAATCTGTGCAGGATGCAGTAGGTTTTGCTGCCTGGTTGAACTACGAGATCTTCAAGGTCCCTTCTGGCGCTATGATTCAAGAAGGGAGGGAGTAAGTAAGTAAGTAAGTAAGTAAGTAAGTAAGTAAGTAAGTAAGGAAGGCAGGCAGGCAGGCAGGCAGGCAGGCAGGCAGGCAGGCAGGCAGGCAGGCTGAGTTAATCTTGAGCCGGTCAGGATCAAACTGCTGGCAGCCAGCATAATTAGCCTGCAATACTCCATTCTAACCACAAGGAAGGAAGGAAGGAAGGAAGGAAGGGAGGGAGGGAGGGAGGGAGGGGGGGAGGGAGGGAGGGAGAGAGGGACAATGGGAGGGAGGGAGGGAGGAAGGAAGAGAAGAAAGGGAAAAAGAGAAGAAAGAAGAAGGAAGGGGGAAGTTTTCAAAAAAAGTTCAGACAACAATTTGTCTGTGACGGTATCAAGGACTCTGCCTTGAGCAGGGGGTTGGACTAGAAGACCTTTAAGGTCCCTTCTAACCCTATGATTCTACGAATTTCTATTTGTGGTAGCAATTTTACTGCTTTGAACTCTAACTTCGTAACATCTTGGGGGGAAGATGAGGAAAATACGACCCATTTCATTTTGTTTACCGTGTTTTTCTGGAAAAAAAAGCATTTTTCTTGTGGTCGTTTTTGTTTCTGGGGTATTTCCCCCCCCCTTTTTTTTTTGAAGCGGGAGGGGGGGAATTGTTTTAGGATTGACAGGTTTCCAGGCTCAAAATAAACACCAGGCCAGATCTCTCGGTTTCTGAGTCCTGCCCCTCAGTTGTAAATTGTGAAGACGTTACGGAACCTCTAGCTCCGTCTTTCCTTTGATCCGACTTCAAACAAGATTGCTATGATACTTTGGACTAGGATCCGTGAATAGAAAACACCGTACGCGGAAGCGTCTTCCTTTCGCCTTCCCAAGCTCTCTTCCTCCACCAGCGCCTTCCAGTTGTGGGATGGATCCCTTCTACACCTCTGCAGGCCCACCGTGACCTTCCCCAGCCTTGTGCTCTTGCAGGCCCTGGAGACAAATTTCCTTGGCCTGCCACAGAGGACAACCCTGATGCAATGCAGTTGCCGTCCTGCACTCCGGCATTCTCTGGGTCTTGCAAATAAGCCGGCATTTCTCTCCCATCCAGCCGGTGAGCTCGATTCCTCTGGACTCCTGCTCGCTAGAGGCAGGTGCCGTTGCCTTTTATTACTCTCTCTTCTCGGCTGCAAAACAGACAGCGGGGTGTGTATGTGTATGCAGGCTGACCAAGTATGCAAATGCGCAGGTATCTTAGCGAGGCTCTCCCCCTTCCCCTTTCCCTTCCCCTTCCCCTTTCTGATGTGGTTGCGGTGGGGGGGAGCACAATAAGGAGCAAATGACGAAGTCAGCTAAAACATGAGTCCAAAGGGCCCCGGATAGTAGGTGCGCCTCTGCGTTCTCCACTCCAGATTAAATTATTAATCAGAAAATCCATCTCGCCGCTCAGCCTCGCTCCCTTCCACCTGCAAAAGGTTGGATGAACGGAAAGGTAGGTTCACCTTGGCACCTTCAGATTGTCATTGGTTGTCATTTTAAATGTTTCTGGTTTTTTGTTGTTGTTGTTGTTTTTTTACAGGGTTTAGGAGGATCGTCCCCGGCAATGATCCAATGCAGTAATTCAGGGCAAGAGAATCGAGGCAGTTAGATTTTCTCCGTTCGTGATTTTATGTAGTTCGGACGAGCCAAAATTTCCCGTGCTTGCTTGCGTTTACCGGCCGCAAACCTGCATCATCCTTCCCGTAACTCTCATTTCTCCGATTCTCGTACGATCGGTTTAGCCTCTGGAACTCCTGAAGAGCAGCCGTCAGCCAGTGGCTAAGCCGCTATAAAATCCAGATGCAATATGGCTTAGCATTTTGCATCAGGGGCTGGACTAGAAGACCTCCAAGGTCCCCTTTCCAGCCGTATTTCTGATTTTTTTTCTTTTCTTGGACGTAGGGGATTTTGTCGGGCGAACGAACCAAAACGAAGTTTTTCTCCGTTTTCTTCTTTCAGACGATCATAATGTTGCCCCAAAGGAAGAACTGGAAGTCCATGTGTAAAGGCCTCGTCCTGGGAACTCTTCTCACCAGCTTCATGCTGGTTCTGTATTCGTACGCTGTACCACCTTTGCAAGTCAGCATGACAGAGTGAGTAAATATCTGGCGTACGCGGGACGAGGCGATGGAAGCGATGGAGGGGGGCGCAGGGACGCCTTGCTTTTTTTAAAAAAAATTTGATTTATATGCCGCCCTTCTCCGGAGACTCAGGGCGGCTTACAATGCGTTAAGCAATAGCCTTCATACTTTTGTATATTTATACAAAGTCAGTTTGCATATCTCGTTTTTTCTACGTGTTTCACTTTTCTTCTTTATACTGCAACTGCTATTCTAATAGCAAATCCTTCATCAAAGTTATGGCATTACATTCACAATTAAATTATCTTTCCATGGGTATATAATTTTATGGTACTACTCCAGAGCTGGGTTTCAGCAGGTTCTGACCAGTTCTGGAGAACCGGTAGCGGAAATTTTGAGTAGTTCGGAGAACCGGTAGTAAACATTCTGACTGGCCCTACCCCCCATCTATTCTCTGCCTCCCGAATCCCGGCTGATCGGGAGGAAATGGTGATTTTACAGTATCCTTCCCCTGGATTGGAGAGGGAATGGTGATTTTACAGTATCCTTCCCCTGCCGCTCCCACCAAGCCACACCCACCAAGGCACACCCACAGAACCGGTAGGAAAACTTTTTGAAACCCACCACTGTACTACTCCCTTCCAAAAAAAGTGATGTTATTAACTAGTTTTAGAAAATACACTTTTGCCAAAAAGGTTTCCACAAGTTTGGCCACTCCTGTATTCTCTTTTGATCTTACTGTGCTAAATTTTGCTTGCAAAAACCTGCACCGTACTTGTTTTAACTGCCAACCAAAATTGCCAGTTTCCTGTGGCCAACAGCCGCTTTAAATCTTAGTGACGGGGACTAGAACGAACCTTTGCCAAGCAGATTTGAGAAAGTTCGTGACGATGTCTCCTGAATTCAGAGTGGGGGTGGGGGAAAGGAGTCATTTATTTTTCCTCATTTGTTTTTCTTTTTTTTTTCTCTCCTTCACCCAGGATTCCCATCCCTTATTCATGCTCGTCCTACCGCACCCAGGCCCGGCTCTCGGCTTCAGGGAACAGCAGCCAGGGCTCACCGGGAGAAAAATGCCTCCCCAAACGAAACATCATGTTCATGAAGACCCACAAAACAGCCAGTAGCACCCTCCTCAATATCCTCTTCCGTTTTGGGGAGAAGCACCGCCTCAAGTTCGCCTTCCCCAACGGACGTAATGATTTCTACTACCCGTCTTTCTTTGACCGAAACCAGGTAAAGGGATATCAGCCCGGCGTGTGCTTCAACATCGTGTGTAACCACATGCGCTTTCAGTACGAGGAAGTGCGCAAGCTGCTGCCGGCCGACGCCGTGTTCGTGACGGTGCTGCGGGATCCGGCCTACCTCTTTGAGTCTTCTTTCCATTACTTTGGGGGCGCCATTCCTTTGACCTGGAAAGTGTTGGGAGACGACAAGCTGGCTGAATTCCTGAGGGACCCTTGGCATTACTACGACCCGAAAGGGTTCAACGCGCACTACCTCCAGAATCTCCTTTTCTTCGACTTGGGCTATGACAACAATATGGACCCCAACAGTCCTCTGGTGGACCAGTACATTCGTGAGATCGACGGACGCTTCCATCTGGTCATGCTTCTGGAGTACTTCGACGAATCTCTGGTGCTTCTGAAGGACCTGTTGTGTTGGGAGCTGGAAGACATTCTCTACTTCAAGCTCAACACCCGCAACGGGTCCACCGTCTCGAAGCTGACCGACGAACTCTACCAAAAAGCCACGGTTTGGAATCTCCTAGACGCCAAGCTCTACCAGTACTTCAACGCCACGTTCTGGCACAAAGTGGAAGCCTACGGGAAGGCCAGGATGGCGAAGGACGTCGCCAGGCTGAACGAAGAGAACGAGAAGATGAAGAGCATCTGCATCGACGGAGGCCGCCCCGTGGACGCCAACTCGATCCAGGAATCCGCCATGCAGCCCTGGCAGCCCCTGGGCAAGAAATGCATCCTGGGCTACAATTTGAAAAAAAAGATTCACAAAAAGCATCGGAAACTTTGCCGCAAAATGCTGACCCCCGAGATCCAATACCTGATGGACCTCGGGGTCAACCTGTGGATCACCAAGCTATGGAGCTGGGTGAGGAAGTTTTTGAAGTGGTAAGAAGGTGAGCCCCCCCCCCCGGCCATGTGCCAAGCACCCTTCTCTCCGCTCTTTTGGTTCCTTCCCTTTCCATTCTCTTCTTATACCGGTTGGTCAGGCCCACGCCAAACTCAACTTTGTGGCCAACGACTAACGGGAGAACGATCTCGAGAATAAAGTGTTCCCAAAGGTGAATTTAAAAAAAAGGGGGGGGGGATGGGTGACTAAGGCTTGTAACCAAGGTAGGGAGAAAAGGCGCTGTACACCTACGACTCAATTTTTGGCTGGACTTTCGGGAAGAAGAAAGTAAAACGGACGCCAATGGCTCTCAGGTCCTCTTCACCAACCTGCATTCTAGCTCTCGGTGGCCGCTCTGCTGTTTTAACCTCCCCGATGAGCACAGTGAAAACCAAACCAAGAAACTCACAGCCACTGCAGTATTTGGCCACTCGGAATCTCATGCCTCTCTCGTAGTCAAACTCTCGCGGGCCGCAATCGTCAAGAGTACACTAGAAAACAGTTTGGCAGATTAGGGAAGCGAGTGTGTGAAGAAGATAGCGAAGAAGATAATGTGCTGGTACATCGTTTCTTTTTCTTTGTGAGTAGTAGGACTGGACGCCCATTTCCCCAGAGGCGAATCGAACAGGTAGTTTGCCCCCGAACCATGGTAAACAGCGAGAACTTCAGAGCAGTATAGTTTTTCGTGTACGTCGAGCAGATCTGCCCTCAATGCTTAAAGCCATTATCATCCCCTCGGACCTCTCTTTGAGTACTGTAATTTTCTGCTTGAAATTTTGGGGCACCAAAATCCTAGTTTTTCAGGATGCTTTGCCGAGAGAGAAGCCACAGCGCTGAATTTGGAATCGCTGTTTCAGTTTTAGTAGCGTAGCGGTGCCCGTGTGAAACTTAAGTATTTACAGTGAGTTGTGAAATGTGTTATTTCTGTAACATGTGCGTACATAAATTCCCACGTTGAACCACCTTTTGGTATTTTGTTCGCTTGCCTTACTATGTTCTCGGACCAGCGCTGAGCCATTTTGTCGCTGGCGTGAATGGGACATGAGCGTATTCTTCCCTGGGGTGCCCAAAAGCCGCCTCCGTTTTAAAATCGCACAGAAACAAGGCGCAAAAGGCAAAGAAAAAGTGGGATTTGCACGAATTCACACCGCATTCTGGACAGTCCATTCCAGTCAATGAACGCCAGCGTAGGTCACCTTCTTGCAATTCCAGGAAAACTGAGGCAGTGGAGCACTGCCAGGAGAATTGCTTCTCAATAGGAGGGAGGACGATTGGTCAGGCCATCAGGTTTTTCCACAGTCCTCTCTTTTAATCGCCTTTGGTGCTTACTGATGCTCTGTTTTCCCCCAAAATAAGACATCCCCTGATAATAAGCCCAATCGGGCTTTTGAGCGCATGGCAATAAGGCCAAGCGCTTACTTCAGGGTTCAAAGAAAATATAAGACAGGGTCTTATTTTCAGAGAAACACGGTAGTTGATTTGGAGTCTTACGGATTTCTGAATTACAGATTCCACTGTGGCTAAAACTGGATATATCTTGCACCAACTACTCTCAGAAAGTATCAGTGTGCATGATTTCCTCAAGCAAATGTGGCTTTTCCTTTGCGCATAAAAGCACATTTTAATTTTTGCTCAGTAGTTAGTCATAAGTGGGTTTCTTTACGTATTCTCTTTGAGTTATCAAACGGGCTGAAAAACTGAACAAAAACATTGCCAGCTGAGGCACCCCCAAACATTCACACACGTCACTTACCAAAATTCAATAAATGCAAACTATTCTAAAAAAACAACAAAATACAGGAGTTTTTTTTTTAATAAAAAGTTTTTTTTATTTTCCAAAATATAAACATTCCATCTTTCCTTAAACAGGGTGTCGTCTGGGTACAAATATCTTTGTGCAACAACCTTCAACATTTACAACATCATTCATATTAATATTAATTCACTACTCTTAAAATTACAGTATGTTAAACAGTTGAACATTATAAGCCTATTCGTTTTTCCTCTTAACATGTCTTCTAGTAAGAATACAATAATGATAACATTAAGCATAATTATCCTCATCATCATACTAACAATTATCATCTTATTTATACCTCTAACTCAACATATTTTCTATTCTTCTTTACTTCTCCTTTTATTTCCAGTTTCCCTTTTTATTCTCTAACCACTGATAAAATACTTCCTCTATCATACAATATTCAGTTCGTTCTTTCTCCTCGATTGCTAGCGTTAATCTGTTCATTTCTGCACATTCTAATATTTTCCTAATCACCTTCTCATCAATAGGAATCTCTTCCCTTTTTCCAATGTTGTGCAAATACAATTCTAGCTGCAGTTAGAACATGGATAATTAAATAAATGCGTTCTCTTTCTTATAACTTTCGGGGGAAATCCCCAGCAAAAAATATTTCTGGTTTTCGCTCAATGCGTCGTTTTATCATCTTTTCCAACTGCGTCTTTATTTTTGTCCAATATTTTTTTGGGCTTTTACACATGTCCGCCACATATGATAGTGAGATCCAGATATCTGGTGGCACTTCCAAACAGAAGTCTTAATTGTCATTCTCGGTGCCCACAGAATGCTTGGAGATCTCTTCTCTCTCTCTCTCTCTCTCTCCTCTCTCTCTCTCTCTCTCTCTCTCTCTCTCTTCTATCTATCTATCTATCTATCTATCTATCTCACCTTTCCTGCCATTTAGTTATTTGCCATTTATCCCATTTAGTTACCTGACTTATAAATAACTCAACGCAGCACACATACATACTACTTCCTTTCCTCCTCCTATTTTCTGCACAACAACAATAACAACCCTGTGAGGAGGGCTGGCCATAGAGTGATGGGCTGGAAAAGTCACCTTTCTTTCAGACCTAAGGGTAGGACTAGAACTCATGGTCTCCTGGCCATTTGCTCAAAGTCGCCTAGAGCCTGCTTTGATGTCTACGGCGGAATAGAAGTCTCTGTTTCTAAGCCAGCGCCTTAAGCCCTTAAGCATTTAAGCAGCTTATCAGGTATTGAATCAAGTCACCTGCCACACCTGGGGAACATCCTCTGGAAATCATTTGCAACCCATTGCACACCTGTGATGAACAGTTCAAAGAACTTTGAACCGGAGCGTCCCGAGTTATCTACCACCTCGGATTCAAAGCACGATGCGATTGTACAATGAAGGATAATTCCTCCATCTCCCAGATCGTAGAACACCTGTTCTACAAAAAACACAACAAGATCAAAGGTACGCTCACCTAGATAACAATATTTGAAAGCCACGGTTGTTATGGAGTCCATGAATCCCGTGTTTTACCATAAGCCACTGCAAGGCACGGAAGTCCTGCTGGTATAAAGATAAAGGTTCCCCTCAAACAGATGTGTTAGTCCCGTGATGGCGAATCTATGGCACATGTTCAACAGGTGGCACACGGAGCCATATCTGTGGGCACGCGAGCGTTGCTCTAGCTCAGTTCCAGCATGCATGCGTACGCCAGCCAGTTGATTTTCGGGCCTTTCGGGCCCACCGGAAATCGGGAAACGGGCTGTTTCTGGCCTCCAGGGGGATGGGGAAGGCCATTTTCGCCCTCCCCAGGCTCCTAGAAAGCCTCTGGTGCCTGGGGAGGGCAAAAAACAGGCCTACCGTGCCCACTGTACCATCGCATGCCAAAAGCGGGGGGAGCATGGGGGGGTCATGTGTGCATGCATGGGGTGGCAGGGCACATTGAATTAAGGGTGTGGGCACGCGCACGCTCGACCCCCCACACTCCCCCACGCTTTTGGCATGCGATGGCAAAAAGGTTAGCCATCACTGTGCTGGTCGTTCCTGACTCTAGGGGGCGGTGCTCATCTCCGTTTCAAAGCCGAAGAGCCAGCACTGTCCGAAGAAGACGTCTCCGTGGTCATGTGGCCGGCATGACTCAACGCCAAAGGCGCACAGAACGCTGTTCCCTTCCCACCAAAGGTGGTCCCTATTTTTCTACTTGCATTTTTTACCTGCTTTCGAACGGCTAGGTTGGCAGAAGCTGGGACAAGGAACGGGAGCTCACCCCGTTATGCGGCACTCAGGATTCGAACCGCTGAACTGCCGACCTTTCGATCGACAAGCTCAGCGTCTTAGCCACTGAGCCACCGTGTATAATTTATTTCAATACAGCCTAGTTTTGGTCTTCCTGTGGAATCACTTCCTCCAGCCAAAGTCTACACTTTGTAGAGCTAGCCGGATGGCTCAGTGTGACGTGTTATCCAAACCAATCTGGCTTGCTTGGCAAATCATGATTAAAATTACCCCAGCTGTTAGAGACCATCTGTTGACAGTTATGAGATCAAAACAGCCAGAGGTGAAATCCAGCAGGTTCTGACCAGTTCTGGAGAACCGGTAGCAGAAATTTTGAGCAGTTCGGAGAACCGGCAAATACCACCTCTGGCTGGCCCCAGAATGGGGTGGGAATGGGGATTTTGCAGTATCCTTCCCCTGGAGTGGGGTGGGAATGGGGATTTTGCAGTATCCTTCCCCTGGAGTGGGGAGGGAATGGGGATTTTGCAGTATCCTTGCCCTGCCACACCTACCAAGCCACGCCCACCAAGCCACACCACGCCCACCAAGCCACGCCCACAGAACCAGTAGTAAAAAAAATTGGATTTCACCACTGATTCTATCCCTCTATTTATGCAGCCTAGAACTGGCTCCTATTTCTCATTGTCAAAAAACCAAATTAATATTAATTAATTTATTTATTACCCCCTTCCCCCCCCCAGTTTTGAGTAACCTGTCATCCTTTTCCGATCAGCCTCTTTTGCTGGCCCTTCCAGAACAAAAGGGACAAGTCTTCTGGTCTTCAGCTTGGGCCCCCCTTATAGAAAATGAGAAGACCAGGCTCAGTTCTCCAGCACCTGTGTGTCTCTGGGTGGGGCTTTCTCTGGGTGGGAGGAGATAAAGAGATGGTCAAGAGACACCACCTGGATTCCTTCTTCTGCGTTGCGAAGTGGAGAGCCAGCAAGATGGGGCCTCAGAGGACCATTTCCACACTCTTGGTCTGGATGATCCTGGAAGCCACGACAGCTCAACGGGGTAACTAACCGTGATTTTTTTTCCTCCAGGTCAAAGCTGAGTTAGGAAGAGGAGGAAGGGGTTGGAGGTTCTCTCCCCTGGGAGAACTAAGGCTTCTTTCCAAACTGGAGAAAGATGGGGTGGGATAGAAATACATTTCCTCCTCCCTCCCTTCTTCCGATGGAGTTTTAAGGACGAACCCAACCTGGAATTGTCCACCGTGAAGCATAAAATTTGCTTTGGGTGTATTGGCATGGCATGGTTAGTCTATGGTTTAGTATGCCTTAAAAGCTTTAAAAAAAACCTAGATTAATGGAATAAACTGGTTTAATTCATTATAAGCATGGGTGGCAAGTAATCAGGAATAGTGGTTGACTGTACAATTTACACCAAGCCATGGTTTCCAAATGCTACTAATTTGTACTTCAACCATGGTTTATTGAAAGAACTCAAGTGACCAGCTTCATAACGCGTGTGAGATAAAGCTTCCCTTGAGTCCAGCTTCAAATCTGATGACTACATGAACCCAAAAACAATGTTTTAAATACCCCCCAAAAAGTCTGTAGTTTGTAGTTCAACCATGGTTTATTAAATTAACTCAAGTGACCAGCTTCATAACGCATGTGAGATAAACCTTTCCCTTGAGTTCAGCTTGCAATCTGATGACTACATGAACCCCCCAAAAATATTTTTTAAGTCCCCTGTCCCCTCCAAAAAATAGTCTAACCTAGAGCTCTGGAACTTAGTTTCCCACCCAAGTTGTAAGCAGACCTCCTCTTGCTTATCTTCCAAGTTTAGACAAAGGTACTGTTACCTTTGATTACAGATTAACCGAGTTGGAAGGGACCTTGTAGGTCATCTAGTCCAACCCTCCGCACAAGCATCGGACATCTCCGAGGACGCTTTGATTACAGATTAACCAAGT